CAACCAGATGGACGCTGACTGACTCTCTGAGGACCTCTGATATGGGCAAAAGGCACAGTTGGAATACAAACAGTTTGTGTTTAGTAAGTCGATGATCAAGGGAAAACTAGAAACTACTGCAGAGAGCAGCCCGGACTCCCAGGCTCCGGGCATGCAGCAGGATGCTGGATCACTCCGGGAATGATTCTGGACTCTAGCCAGGTTATTAATTAAGCCCTAACCACCAAGGCCAAAGGAACTCCCTATCAATTAGTGGATAGCTGAGAGCCCATGAGACTTAAGGCCTCCCGAGGGCTGTGTCTTTCAACCAGGTGAACTCCCCAGAATAAAGGGCCCAGACGGGACTGGAGACAGAAGAGTTGGAACACAAATATGTGGCTAATTGAAAGAGAAGACTGTGTTTCCTAAACTTCCTAGGCCCTGTCTAGGACACAGAATTTTCACATTAGCTTAGTGATTCAGATACTCAGCTTCAAGTTCTCACTCTGCCTGTACCAAACACAATGTGGGACACAAAATTTTAAATGACCATAATTAAAAATAAAATCAAAGCCGGGCGTGGTGGCGCACGCCTTTAATCCCAGCACTCGGGAGGCAGAGCCAGGCGGATCTCTGTGAGTTCGAGGCCAGCCTGGGCTACCAAGTGAGCTCCAGGAAAGGCGCAAAGCTACACAGAGAAACCCTGTCTCGAAAAAACCAAAAAAAAAAAAAAAAAAAAAAAATCAAACTTCTAAAAATTATGTGGAGCTGGAGAAACGGCTCAGCTGTTCAGAACACTTGCTGCTCTTGCAGAGGACCAAGTACAGTTTCCAGCACCTGCTTCAGGTTCTCACAACTGCCTGTAACTCCAGCTCCAGCATTTCCTGGACCTGTCACACTCTACACTCACATGTGCATGCCCAATTTAAAAATTAATTGTTAAAAAACATTAAAAATGCCCATTTAAAATAACACCCACCCAAGAATGAGCTATAGCATTTCCTTTCCTTTATTAGCAATGATTAAAAAACATTAGTCGTCATGAACTGACCAAGTGTAAGGGCAGAGGCATTGGTAAAAGAGCCTCCTGTACACAGTGGTGAGGGTGTAGACACACAAAACTTTCCAGAAGGTGAAGCTGTAAAGTGATCATTTCAACAGAGAGTTAAATATAGTTACTTTCACCTGCTAATTCTTCTATGAATTTATTCAGAGGAGATAATTAGACAAATGTGCCAAGGTTTACACAGAAAACATGTTGCTTATGGCATTATTAAAATACCAAGTATTTAGAAATATCTAAATATCATCAAATGGAGATTATTTAAAGAGATGAAGGCACATTACATAACAGAGTCCTGCCCCTAGTTAGAAGGATATCTGAAACCTGGGAGGCACAGTGTGACACTTCTTCAGATTCTTCATTGAAGGGAAGACTTCCTGTCCACCGTTCCATCCACACAGACAGACAGCATGCACATATATTGTGCCATAAGACCCGTCCAAGTTAGAAGTGCTTACTGGCTCTGGGTGGTAAGGTAGCCATGATTTTTTTCTTTCTTTATAGAAATACCTATGTTATTTGAATTTTTATAATGAGTGTGTGCTATCTTTACAAATAGAAAATCAACTATATTTAAGGGTCAAATGAAAACTTCTAAAAGGGGCATAGCTTTCCAGAGAAGGGACATAGCTGAGATTGGAATGACAGCTAGTTTTAGAGGAGAATGGAAAGGGAGTCTGAAACTGGCTGCAGGTTTTGTGTGGAGTGATTCAAGCCCTAGACAAGCTAGCAAGGCCCACCACTGAGGAATCTGCTCCAGAGTCAGTCCTGAAGCTGAAAGGCCAGCTCTGTCATTTTCCAAATAATCAAACGTGGGACAAATTACTTACCCTTCTGTTTCTTGGTGTCCAAATTTATAAAGTAAGAAACTGATACCACCTGCCTCTAAGAGTGTCAGGAGGACTCAGAGAGTAATGAAAAGCACCCATCACAATGCCTGGCGTATAACCAATGGTCACTAGACACCAACACTCACAAAACCCAAGTCTATCTTGTTGAGTTCACATTCTCAGAGTTGAAGTGCTAATGAACGGAACAGTAAAGGACCATTAGACAATAAAATCCACAGAAGCAGGCATTGGGATGTCTAGGCTGTGAAGTTCAAGGTAAAGGGTACAAGATGCATGGGTTCAGGCATGTGACCTTCTCATCAATCTCAGTTTTTCACTTTGTAAGCTGAGAATCATGTATAGAAGGTCATGTTGAGGATTTAGTGTCAAATGCCCACACTCCACTTAGTCACAGTGAGTTTTCAATACATACTTCTTACTCTAAACATACACTAATCATCTGATTATGAAGCAAGCAGCAAGCTTCCTGTCCTCACAGGTATCCAGGTAGACTTAGCAACCACTTACAGAAGGATACAGGGACTTATTCATGAAAGGACCATACTTCTAGATTCAACTAGACCTAAAAACCTATGCAAAGTCATAGGCTCATGGGACTGACTTTAAAGTTGGTTGGCATGACATGTAGGGCGAGATGACAGGGTCATCACCTTAGGGAGTCACATGACAATGCCATGGTCAGAGACTAGCCTGATTTTCAGGCCAGTGAGCCAGGTGGTGGTGATTCGTCTAAACTGCTCATTCTTTCTTAAACCCAGCTCTACTGCTCTGGGAAAGCTGAAGAGGGTGGACTACAGAGCCCATGGGTATGGCTGGCTACAAGCTACATTCCCTCTCCCCACAAACACACACAACTACACAGTCCCTGGGACCCATAAGGAGACATGGTTCCAGGCAGATACTACCCCAACAGGAAGCGCATGCTAGTCACTTCCTGTCTGCTAGGTTGTGCTCTTAGCTCCTTGTCAGCATTATCTTACTTACTCCTCATGAGACTGAGCCACTGCTGGGTATCATCCCATTTTACAGATGACAATTTAAAAAAATGGAGTCCTTCAGTGAGGAAGAAATAGGGTCTAAGGTATACTTAGAACGTGAAGGTGATTGACTTCAAAAAGCTTTATGGCAGCATCTCAAATGGACTTGAATCCATTTTAGGACCAGACACATATGTGCACCCAGGATCTGGGTCAGGTGAACCCTCTCAAGGCAGTAGGAATGGGGGAAGCCAATGTGGCCAGGGGTAATCTAGAACCCTAGAGAAGGCAGAAGACCGAGAGAGAAAGTCTAGGCTGCACTCTGCCCGCTTCACAGGAACCGGCATGCAGCAGAAACTGAGTGTGTCTTCAGGAGTTCCTGCTTCAGGAGCAAAGGACTACTGTTAGAGAAGCCAAGAGTTCGGGTCGGCTCTGTAAGATGAGGTGCCACACAGCTTCCTCTCTCTAAGATAACCAAGTGCTGGGAAGGGAGATGTCTTTGTCACTTACTTCCTTTTCAGATCCCTCGGTTAACCAGGCAGGCTATGAACTGGCATCCGCGCACACCTCTCTGGCTTGCTTTGGTATGCCAAGGCTAGGTCAGGACGGTCCCCTATCTCTCTCACACCTGGAGTGATTTTCCAAACCACTGCTAGCGTCTGACCACACACCAGGCAGATCCCTGGGGGACAAGCCAAAGCTTCCTGACTTGAGATTGCAGATACCCAGATTCAAAGTATATCTCTTTGACCTTCTGCGAGGCCTGAGCTTTCTCATCAGTCAGGATGATACCTCACCCTTCTGTTGTAAAAGTTAAATGAGATACTCATATACTAGAAAGGCAGTGGGAACAGTACTAGTGAGCCAGAGTCTGGAGCTTCACAGTTTAGGGTCAGAACCTGGCTCTACCACTAGCCATTTATCTTTAGACATGCTAACCTTTCTGAGCCTCAGTGTCATCGACTGTAAAATGGGTGGGATAGCACCTATCTATGTAGGAGTTTTGGGGTGAGTGAATGGGTTCAGAATTGCAAAGTGCTTGCCACCGCCCCTGTCACATTAGTGGCAACTCAGTAAATGTGAGTTGTTATGATTAATGTGTGGAAAGCCCTTGGCACGGTAAAAATGAGTATTCAATAAATGGTGGCTGTTATTCTTACAAGGTACATGCTCCTCGGAGAATTTTGTGCACATTTATCTCCTTGAAAGCAATAAAAATGAAGATGTTAGTGAAGAATCTGGTCCTTAAGTAAATGTCAGTCATAGCTGAGAAAAGCCACAGTTCCTTTGTCCCTGCAGGGTACCCGGAACCTCCACCCGCCAGGCCTATGCCCAGGCTCTCCTCTGCTTCCTGTGGACCTGTCCTTCGCTCAGCCATCCACCCTCTCAGCACATGTTCATTAAGCACCTACAGAGAGCCCAAAGGAGGCCTGGAAACCCAAGCATAGAACGCAAAAGCTCCAGCTGCATCCTCTCTAGTTACAGGGTAGTGGGCAATTCACATTAAGTAAGTGTGCACACAAACGGTTATTTAATGGCAGCTGGTTTTGTATCCTAAAGGATGTGATGGTAGGGATCCCTTGTGATACCATTTTACCACTGTCTCCACTCCCCTGCCCTCCCACCTCCCTGGCAATTAAAATTATCTATTAAAATTCTGTTTTAATTTCAAGAAGGCTGTGCAAATGAAATCATGCAAAGCAATCTTTTGAGACAGTCTTGTTTTTCCTACTCTGCCCGGGTGATGTATGTCAATATTTTCTTCCTCTTTATTGCCGAGTAGTATTTCACGTGTTGGATGTAGCATAGATATCTAAGATGGTGTGTGTGGTCTGGCATTAGGGATATGGCTAAGGAGGAAGTCCTTGTGAAGGCTCCTTAAAGAAGTGCTATTTAAGCTGGTCGCTCACTGATGACAAGTTGGCTGGGTGGTGATTGCAGGAAAAGGAAGTGATCTAGGTAGATCGGGGAATTTCGTTTTAAGGCCCTACACCCCAAGGGCACCTCACTCACGCAGGGGACTGAGAGAAGGTGGCATGGTGGGTTGAATCCTAGACCCTCACTCAAAGGAAGCTCGGCTAAGAGGTTAGAACTTGCTGATTGTGGTTTCTCCCTTTTCATGGTTCTCAGCTGAACACCTCCAAAAAGAAAAGGCTGCAGAGATGACTCACTGCCCACATGTGAACTTCAACCAAGACTCTACAACCAAGCCCAGCCCTCTGAGTTTCCCTGATGCCTCAATTCTGTCCTAGTCATACCCTTCTGGGTTTAGTGAGACTATTTAAGAAGTTAAGTTACCCTCGCTGAAACACGGGGAAGCAACATGGAAGAAAATGGCCCCACTGGAGAAATTTCTGATTGACGTAAGTGGGGACGTTCCCTTAGGAACATCATGTACCATCTAAGCAGCAGAGCCCCAGGTCATCTCTTACTCTGTTTATTTACATGCTATGACAAGAAGATGTGTTTAAGGCTCCCATAGCCTTGCACCACAATTCAATGCTCTGGGAAAAGCAGCCATATGGTCTAGACATAGTAGGTTCATTTCAGAGTTCACGCATTCCGAGTGTGGCACTGTCCCCTAAATGGTACTTTTGTTGTCCTTCTGTTCAAGACAACAAGCTTCTTCTAGGATCAGAACTGTTTCTTGGAATCCACTGGCAGACAAGCCCATCAGTTCTCTTGGTAGGTCAGATGTTTCATAATTAGCCTAACTCACTGGTTATCTACTCAGTGATTATGACTACAGTGACATAATATTTCAACTGCAGGGGAAACATTCCAGACAGCTAAGTAGCACAGTCAGGCTGGGAATGGCCGGCAGGGCTTCCTGCATCAAGAGGAGTGGACCACTACATCCTGCCTGGCCATTCTCCTTGTCTCCATCATTAGATACTGCTCTAAAGACCTAAGGGAGATGTGCCCAGGACAAGTGTGTGGTCCTTCTCCCTCTCACTGAGGCTCGATGGCCCAGCAAAGTATGAAAGTGAGGCCCGTGCTCCTAAAGCGAAGCAGTCTGGAGTCTGTGGAGCTTGTGAAACAACCACACCACCGCAGGAGCAAATCACAACAGGTGCGATTCAAGGAAGATGGGAACACGAAGAGTCCAACTGGCGTAACTGAGGCTGATACCCAAACGCCTGAAGACCAGGGGCTAATGGGGAAGACACAAGCATCCCGGCACCATCACCCTGCCACCTACTCACTGTCTTTCCCCAGGTCCCACAAGGCAGGAGGCTTTCGCAGCATCTCTATCCAGACCTCCCCCAGTCTCAGGAAGCATTTCCCAGTTTTCAAAAGGAAGAAACTCACAACTAGCAAGTCTCTGGTGGAAATGCCAACAGCCTCCCCAAGTGCCATCCAGGTCAACGGCAACCTCTCTGAACAGGATATTGTGTCCTCTGACCTTGCCTTCCTGAGGCTGGCTCAGCATCTCGAGGATGGGCCTCGAAGACTCAAAATGCCCCACCCATTTCTCCCTAGGATGTCCAAGGTGCAAAGCAATGGGCCTGTTAGCTTCTGCTTGGAATCTGGGACTTGGAGGTCTTCAGAGAAAGCAACAGCTGCCATTCAGGTTCCAGATGATATTTGTCATAGTCCAGGCTGGGAAGCTAGAGAGCCTACTTTCGGCCCAGAAAGCTCAGCTGAAGGAAGCAACTGTATACCCGCTTTGGTCACCATGTGCCCAGGGGATGGGCAAAGAGTGCTGACATCAGATCCGGAAAGATTCCCCTCCTGCTTGAACACCAACAGCAGTGCCAACACCACCCCAGGCACAGGAAAACTCACACCTGAATTGCTTTTGCCCAAAGATAACCCTGACAGCAAAGACCTTGGCCTTCTGTCTTCTCAGTCAAAGAAGACGTGTGTTCCCTCACCATCACGGACTCACATCGCCTCCGAGCCAGGCTCCCATAGCCAGCCAGCCCATGTAGGAAGAACCTCTGATTGCCCAGCATTGAGTGACAATCACCAGGACCTGGAGTCACTCAAAAGTGGAAGTGCATCCAAGTCTGTCCCTGTGTGTCGGGAGCATGTGACAAAGCTCCCCAGCCAGTCAGACAGCTTAGACCTCCAGACTGGCCTTGGAAGTGAGCACCTTGCTTCCTCCTTCCCAAGGCACGAGAACAAACCTCAGAGCAGCAGGGAGCTTGGTGGTAATAATCACAGTCACCTGGCACAGGGCGAGGAGCTCTGTGACCTCCAAGGCCGGCTGCAATCAGTAGAGGAATCACTGCACTCAAACCAAGAGAAAATTAAAGTCCTGTTGAATGTGATTCAAGATCTGGAGAAAGCTCGCGCTCTCACTGAAGGGTAAGGTGAACTTCTTTATATTAAAATCTCTGGGTGAAGTAAGTCATTTGCTGGGAAGGGGTAGAGTGGAAGCGCAGGACAATGATGGATAAGGTTGTGTCCTCTGAGTGAGTTAACAAATTTGCGTTGCTTTAGTTTCATGTGTGTTTGTCCCAAAAGACTTGAGGGAACCACTAAGCTAGGCTTCGTCTCTACTAATTACTTTGATGACTTGGGCTAGTCTGACACTGACCAGCTCTGTTATGTGAAAATGAGGCCGAAGTTCTGACAGAAGAAAGTCAGAGCATACTGCCCCAAACGATGGGCACGGTAACGGTATGGAGAACATCAGGCAGTATTTGTTGAGGTATAGAGTGTCACCCCTCTAGAAAGGCTCTGAATTCCAAGAGAAGCAATGGTTGAAGCTCATCAAACAAGGCTGGAAGGAGAAGAAAGTACTAGGAATCACCCCAGACTGCCTTAGGAGACTGTGCTGACGGAGAATCACCAAGCACAGGGATCAGGAGTCTCCATATTCACCGGCTACTCATTTGCAAAATTCCTCATCTTTCAGGACCAAGAGCAGGAAAAACACATAACATTTGAAAGCAGTTAAAGATAGACCAAGCACCCCCCAAATGGGGGGTTCCATTGTCACAACCTCACCCATCATTATCCTTGTATCTTCATGTCTCTTGGGGGCATCATGAATACTGAACTATGGGGACTAAGATCATTTGCTGAGGTGATCAAATGTGTGTCTCACGTGGCTTTTGCCTATGTGTTTATCATCAACCCGTTCTGTATTACAGGAGGAACTTCTATCGGACTGGCCAAGATCTCAACAACTGCAGCACCTGTCAGAACACGGCGTGCATCATATACAGGTATCAGCCCAAACTGTGGCCTGCTCTGCGGAGCAGGAAGCCGTGGGTCCGCAGAACACACAAGCACAATGTCCAAAGTGCAGAAAGCTGGGAGAGGCAAAGACAAGTACCTGAGCCTTAAAATGGAACGTGTTTGTGCAATGTTTTACCTGGTTCCAAAGCAGGAACTCTTTCTTTTCTTATCTACAGGGTCTAGGAGCAAATCCTCTGATGCAATAGGTAGCCAAGAAAATAGGTACCCATCCAACTCTGCATACACATCTGCATCTCATCTCAGTTATTTGTCAGGAGGTGGGGAGAGGAATTCAGGAAGTTTAGAGGTTTGCCCAACTCATGCAGAATATCTTGAGAGCAGAAGAGGCCAGGATGGGGCCTCATATCCAGATCTTTCTAATCCTAGTCCCTATCTCACTGCCTCTTCTCTACACTTAATCTCCTATACCACACGTGTCTTCTATGTCAATAACCATGAGTACTTTGTGTTCACTCGTAAGTAAGTACACCATTTCTTCCCAGTGCAAGACAACCTGCAGCAAAAACAATTATTAGACCTGTGTTTGAATCCCCAAATCTGAGCGCAGCCTGCTGGTCCTGGCCTCACTTTCCTTGTGTGGAGTAGGTTTAGTGACCTCTATTCAGACTTGCCAGGAAAACAACTGACACAACATCTGTGAATGCACTTGGAGACTGCAAACATCTGCTCACACCTGGAGGTTCATTGCTGTGATTACTGGAAAGATCAGTGGTCTCCTCACCCAGAAGCCCGCTTGGCAGTACAGCCAGAGCACTCATTCTAGTTGACAACATCTAATTTCGTTGGACAAAGAAGTATGGTTTTGTTTTCTACATGACATTTCTCTTTGGAAAGAAAGAGCAAGGACCTGAGCAAACCACTGCTCTACCAGGCTGCCTGTCTTCTCTCAGAGCTTTTCCTTCCCTCTGTAGTAGCCTGGGATCTCATCCTAATGAGGCACTGTATACCTGGACACCAGCCAGTTCTTCCATGTAGGGAAGGCCCTGAGCATCTTCTCATTGGCCAGTTGGCTCCCTACATGGAAGACTACGTGCCTACACCAAATAACGGGAGACTCAAGACTACTTGCAAAGTTCCCCCAAAGCTAAAACCAGGCCTTCATATCTCAAAGCAATAGCCCCTCCAGAAAAGAGGATTCTTGAGAAAGGCCTGCAGCACTGGAAAGTGAAGCAGGAAGTCCTCTCTGTTGCTGCTCTCTATTTTTAATCTCTCATCTTAAGCAAAGTTCCTAATCAAAAAAGAGTACAAAAATTATTACATGTCTAGACAGCAAAGAAGAATAAAAAAACTATTCATCAGAAGCAGAAGAATTGATTTGGACTAACTTCCACTTACATTTTAGACAGAATTCCTTCAAGTACCCAGGTGATGTGTTTTCTATTATTTTTAGTAATTTTCTTTTTTAATATAGCTTATGTTAGTAAAAGAAGCACGTGATTGTTTTCCAGTCTAATGCAAGTTTCATGACTTTCCCCTGAGCAAGTCATTTTTGGCTTCTGGGATTCCTTATTGGAGAAATGAGAGGCTTTAATTAGATGGTCCCAATGGTGCCTTGTAGTTCTGACATTATGTTATTCCAAGTTAAATTAACAGTGACAATATTTGGTGAAACTGTGACTTTCCAGAGTCTGAGACTGTTTGCTGTAGCACAAATTGTTAGAAGGTCTTACTAATAAAATCAAACCCAGGTATTGGGGTAAATTCTGAAAGATCAGAGAGACAGAACAAGCCACAGCTACTTCACCTTGCCAATTCCTCAGCTGATCCTATTTCCTCAGACTGGAAGCCTCTATGTCCTCATCCAAATGGATCTCAGCTGAACTGCTGCTAAAAGCCTAAAAGCTTAACCAGCTCTAGGTCCTGGTTTTCATGCCTTATATACCTTTCTGCTTTCTGACATCACTTCCTGGGATTAAAGGCATGAGTTACCATGCCTGGCTGTTTCCAGTGTGGCTTTGAACTCACAGAGATCCCGATGGATCTCTGCCTTAGGAATGCTAGGATTAAAGGTGTGTGTGCCACCATTTTCTGGCCTCTATGTCTATCTAGTGACTGTTCTGTCCTCTGACCCCAGATAAGTTTATTAGGGTACATAATGTATTGGGGGACACAATATATCACCACAGTTTGCATTTTCCTAACCCTTGCTTCACAGATCCCAAGCCAGCATTCTAAGGCAAGGTACATCCCAGCTGGCATTGCACACCTCCATGCTCTCCTCCCATGCTTCACCAGCATGCATTGTTTGTATCTGTCCCTCAAAACATCCGGCCTGTGTTGCCCTTCAAACCTGACTGTCATCCCAGACAGTATCTGTATCCTTGCTTCTAAATCACTGCAAAGGAATGGGCAATTAATTTGATGAAAGCAAAAAAGATCAGAACAGTATCCCTGTCATGGCAACAGTGAGATGAGAGTTGTCATTTAAGGGAAAAAAATTCAAATGACTTCAAACTTGTGTTGTGTCCTGGAAAGTCAGATCTTAGAAGCTAATGAGCAAGTGATGTGAAATACTCATCCGCAGGCTGTGGTCTCTCTCCCTGATGATGGATGGGTCCAGGACTCGTCACTATACATAAAGCACATGGTACATGATGGATTGCCCACTAGCTTTTCTTCCCCAGAGAGGCTGCTAAGTTAGCAACACATAAGGTTTGCTAAGTGCTGTTGCCCACAGGCCTCACCTCATCAGCTACGGGCTATCGCTGTGCCTCCTGCTCCTGTCAAGATGGTGAGGTCATTGGTTCTAAGCAGCTCGTTCTCTCTGACCCCCAAGCCTCCTTGGCTCCCTCCTCTTGCCAGGAATCTCTTGGATAAACCATCAAGGAATACATCCTTGCTACTGATGCCTAAAGGCACCAGGCATGGCTCTCCAGGGCTTCCAGAAATTCAATGTGCCAAGGATAATGACTTGAAGTTGTTTTTGTTTTTGTTTTTGTTTTTTTTTTGAAGGGGGGGCAGTATCTTGCTTTGTTTTTTGCTTTTTTCAGGGGTGGGGGTACTGTTTTACAGTACTGGAGATCAGACATAGGGCTTTACAGCACCAGGCAAGCAGAGGACCACTGGGCTAGGTCCCCAGCACTGTGTATTTTCTAACTAAACTCCCAGGGGAGGGGTGGGAGTTGGCTTTACCCCAGCTTAAGCTGCTTCTAGCCTGTTCAGCCTCCATTCGCTCTTGTTAGCTTTAGTCCCAGGTCATTTACCCAAGGGGTTGTATGAATGCCACTGGTGGTTCCCAAGATTAAATAACACCGAATTACTTAGTGAGAAACTTGTTCTCTTTTCAATTTCATTTCAATTCTTCTGATTACCTAGAAGGGAAAACTCTGTGTTCCTTGCCACAGCATCTTTCAACCCTTCCTAGTGCGCGCTTATCACATTTCTTTGCAAAGAGAGAACAGATCTCAGGTTCATAGCCACAGGCAAGCAGCAGTATCTAGCCAGATTGTAGGCATTTTAAGCATTTTTGTTGAAGCTTTTAACTTGTAAAACTAATCCTCTTAAATATTCATGAGGAATGATACAGGTCCATGTTTCTAAAATTATCTTGCTTGGTTTGTCTACTTGTTTAGATTTTAAAAGTAGACTGATTTTGAGCAGAAAAGGTTAAGTGAAAAATTGTGAGGTGGGGGTGGGAAACTCTCATAGAGACCATGAGGACATCGAGGTGCGGTGGGACACGCCTGTAATCCCAGGATTTGGTAGACAAAGGCAGGGGGATTGCTGCTAGATCTATACATGTATGTGTGTGTGTGTGTGTGTGTGTGTGTGTGTGTGTGTGTGTGTGTGTGTGTAACCACAAAAGAGGAAAATATCTGATTGAAGTTTAGGAAATAGTCCAGCCCCCTTTTTCTTCTCAAAAGCAGGCCATCTCTAGGAGACACACCTCTTTCCTCCATCCTTCACCCTGTCCCCTGATCCTCCAGCCACATCTGCCTGAATTTCATCATTACACTCTAAGAATAGTCAGCAGAGCCTCTTTGGAGGACTTTGGTTACATGGTTCATGCATTTATTTTTCTGGATATAGCTCTCGGAGAAAAATCTGCTTGATTTAAGTTGTAAAATGCCTCTAACATTTTGAGGGAAAATAATAGGATAGGTTTTTTCCCCTAAGGGACTGGAGTCCATCTCCCATTCAAGCATATTCCTTAAGAAGTGGAAATAATTTGCAAGCTTGTGGGTCAATAGAAATTCTGGCCATGTGATATTTGCAAGGTGCTAGAGAGGAAAGAGAAATGGAGGAACATCAGGGGTTGTCTGTCCAACGTCTCATTCTTAGCCTCTTCCCATCCTTTCAGGGGCACTCATGGACTTGAATTCTGTGTCACACTTTTCCTTACCTCTTTTTTGAAATATGTAGGTCTATGTATGTTTTGTGTGCATGCGTGTGCACACACATGTGCACACACATGTACACACACACATACACACATGCAGTTTTCAACTAACCACTGATAAGTAATGCTTAACATCTATCAGTTCCCTATTTCTATCACCAAATACCTGAGGCAACTAACTTATAAATAGTGAAAAGGGTTATTAGTTCATGGTTCTAAAGGTTTCAGTCCAAACTTGGGCAGTCCTATTGCATTCAGCCTCCTGTATGGCAGCACAACCCAGCAGAAATATCATAAACAAGGAAGCAAAGAAAGATTGAGACCAGTTCACAATTGTCTTCAAGGTTAACCTCCCAATGACCTAAAGATCTCTCATAAAGACCCACCTGTTAAAAACTCACAGGAGCCGGGCGTTGGTGGCGCACGCCTTTAATCCCAGCACTCGGGAGGCAGAGGCAGGCGGATCTCTGTGAGTTCGAGGCCAGCCTGGGCTACCAAGTGAGCTCCAGGAGAGGCGCAAAGCTACACAGAGAAAACCTGTCTCGAAAAAGCCAAAAAAAAAAAAAAAAAAAAACTCACAGGAGCCCCTAACACTTTGTGGCCAAACTTCTAACACAGGACACCGCTGGGGTACTCATTTAAATCACAGTGACACCCCAAGTTCATATCATACTCTTCATTTTCCCTTAGAAAATTAGCTCCCTCGCCACCCTGTCTTGCTCAGCACCATTGGCTGTGTGGGGACTCTGTAAAGACACCACAGTCCCTTTGTCATTTACTCTGGTTCTTTACAACATTCACACCTTTAGCTATTAATTCTCCTTATTCAAACTAGTTCCCACATGCCAACCCCTTTGCTCTGGCTAAGTAAATTTCCTGATCACAAAGTTCAGTCACCTCAGTGCTGGTTGGTGTTTTTTTCCAACAGATCTTTCTTGTCCTATCCTGAGTATTCCTCTATGCACATTACCAAATTATACCTGAAAATAGAATCTGGCCATGTAACTTCCCTGCTAAACAACCTTGTCCTGGCTCCCCTTTCCTCTAGCTGACTTTTCAAGGCCCTTGGAACATGATGCTAAGGCTTTCATTTGCAGTGTCTCCAGCTCCTCTCCAGACACACAGACTGCTGAGCTGCGTGCTCAAGCCTCAGGCCCTTGGCCTGGGCCACCTCACTCTTCTGGAGTATCTCTTGCTCCATGATTCTTTATCAACATATTTTTTTTAATCTTGCCAGGAAATCCAGTTCTTCACTGAAAGACTCAAAAAAGGCCCCAGTGGCATACCTGTTCTTCTGCTATACCATGAATCTGTATCACAGTCCAGTGTGTAGTACACGGTTAGGACTTCATTGATGCTTACAAGGAAAAAAAAGTGTGACTATATTGATGTGAGGTGAAGAGTTAAAAGTAGTGGCGGGCCTGAGACAGCTGTGTGGATCACCCAAGAATAAAGTCATTGTTGCCATTTATGTGCAACCCTACTTTGAATGGGGGTTTGGGGGTCTGTAATAATCAAATGTTCCTATTAGGAATGAAGGACTTCTACATAGCAGGTCCTTTGAGCTGAATCCAATAAAGACTGGATGTAGCCCATGGATTGTCAATTTAAAATACTTGGAACACTGTATACTCTCAATGAGATGGAACCTAATCAAATCTTCCTCAGATGACTCAGACAGCCGCTGCACTTTCACAGGACATTGAGATCCTGCTCTTCAGGGCTGTCTTGCATTACCGTTCAGGACTTTTGTGCCAGCTCTGGAAGGAAGGAAAGACTCGATTGTAGACAGCCACAAAACTCCCCTAGGCCAAAGTCCCTTTGCCCTGGCATCCAGGCAATCCTGATGCTCTCTAAAGCATTAGAGCTGCAGGCTCTCCAGGGTGATGAGCAGGTACCTCCTCAGATATTTACACTGTAATTCCTGAACCCTGGGAAGATGCAACTTTATCTGGCAGAAGGGATTTTTGACCTGCTGATGTCCCACGCAACCTAAGTCAGAAGCTCATTTTTTAGTAAAAGGGGAACCTGTAGGGTCCTTGCCCCCGTTTTAGGTAACTGTTGCCTTGCTTGCTGACCTTGACCTTGATATTCTCCCTATGTTAATTCCCTGCCAGGTTCCACCCTCCTGAATGCTTAAGGGAAGTTCCTTGTCTGTGTATCCTGCATAATGGGCGTTAACAGCTTAGATGCAAGATTGTAAAACATCATAGGGAACTCCCGGGGTTCTCCCATTGTGCTGTAAGCCTGTATTTAAGACCTCTTCCCTCCTTCAATAAACAACATTCGGCATTTAAAAAAAAAAAAAAAAAAAGACGTGCACCACCACTGCTCAGGGATATATACATTCTGAAGCACTGGTGGTGTAAAATAACAAAAAAAAAAAAAAAAAAAAAAAAAAAAAAAAAAAAAGTGTGACTAAGTCTTGAGATGGGGAAATTACCTGGGTGGTCTGAGCATCACACAGAGGTCACCATGAGGATAGAGAGAGTGGAGAGTCAGAACAGGAGACACAGTGATAGTGCCAGATCTCACATGCCTAGGGATGTGTGCAGCCCCAAATCTGGAGTGGGTAGACTCCATGTCTCCTCACAGCACTTCCAGAAGGAACTATTGTCCACACCTTCACTTACAGTGCTGGAGGGTTTTGGCTTGCCACAACAAGAAGATTGAAAATCATGATTGTTTCTCAAGCCATGAAATTTCTGGCCCTTTGCTCAGTGGCAATAAGAACCAGACCTTTCACATTAAACACATGTAATATAGAAATCCTACTTGTCTCATTGTAGGTCAGTTTGTCAGATTTTATTTGATCACTTGCATAACTTCAACAGCTGAGGACAGGTATCTGAGAAGAAAGTTAAGGGAAAGAAATAAGAAAGAGTTACCAGCGAGTGAGTCACAGCTTACTGCCCATCTATTATTTACAGGCAAAATGTCACAGCCCTACTACATAATATATAGGATACATTAAAGTACCCCCATTCTACAGATAAGGAAACTGGGGTTGTGGCAGAGCCTGGCATTTGTACAATACTCAAATTAAGCGATCAAGGCTGAAAAAAGATGCTTACTTACAATTGTCTTGGTACCAGTCATTGAAATAGTCTCAGCGCTGAGTTGTGACTTCCTACAAGGCAGATCCTAGAGCACACTATTTCCAAAGGCCAAACCCATTTGATGGCTGCTGGAACGTGGTAAAAGTTGTCTTATTACTGAGTTCTACTCCATCAACAACATCGTAAGCCTTTGCACTAAAGATGCATTCCCTGCATGGGACTCCCAGAACACCACCATGGCCCACTTGCTTCAGAAACTCAGCTCTCTTTGTGTCATTGGTTCATTCCCCACTCTCCTCCCTCTGAAGGAGTTGTAACAAGGTCTTCGGAAAGGTCTGAGGACCTCCGAACAAGGTGAAATTGGGGAAACCTTAAGAAAGAGGAAATGATAACTTCTTTGTTAGACTTTTTCATAGCCCATCCATGAATGGAATTGTTGAACTCATAGCACTTCTCTGTCATACATTTTTGGGAGGCTGAGGTACCCTTCTGCTTGGCCTTGATTTGGGGGTGAGATGGTCACATACAGACCTCCTCATATTCAGTAAGGTGCCATGGGAATGGAGGTGATCAGGAAGGAAGGAAGGAAGGAAGGTATTGTTCTTGGAATGAGCGTTGTCTTCACATGCTTCTTGTTTGTGAAGCCACTCTGGGGCTTTGGCTTGTATTACACATTGCTTAGGGAAATCATCTGAAATCTTTCACCAGAGATGAGGTACCATTGGTAATGCAGGCTGACATTTCTCCTGTAATTAAAATTAAGAGCAAAGAAAGCCCAAGCCTGCTTCTCAGCAAAGAACTCAAAGGCTGGCACTGCCCTCTGCAAAATCCTAGGAGATTCACAGCAGTTGCCTGACCAGGTGGGTGTGCCAAGCACTGACCTTCACAACCATGGCTTCCCTTCAGGGGAGGGGTGTGATCACTCAGGATGCTAAGTGCCACACAGGAAGCTTCTGCAACCCCCCTAAGCTCTTCAAATTCGGCAGACCACAAGATACTTGAATTCTGTTACTCTGTTACAGACATCTCCACTGGTAGAGTCCTTCTGAACACACTGGGAAATGGGCAGATTTTCAAAAGGAGGTTCCCTGCAGGAGCTTTCCTTTGTGCCTAGCGCTCTCTTTCCAGGGGCTTTCTCCTCTTGGTTTTGATAGTGACAGAACATGACAAAGAGGCTCCCTGGGACACAGGTCACAGCCTCACAGCTGTGCACCCTGCAGGGGAAAAAAATGAAGGCTTCATTTTACAGAGCAAAGAGAGCCTCGGAGAGCCAGTGAGCTGCCTCAGGTCATGCGGTTGGTGGTGCCCTGAGCCCCTCCGGGAGTTTCTCTCTGTGGTTAAGCTGTTTGGCCACCCGGTCTCCATCCTGCTTGTCACTTACTGCTATTACCTAACCAGAGAAAAAGGCATCTCTAGAAATTGCAGTACGCTTCAGCCCTGTGGGTTTAGCAACCAACTCTCCCCTTAAATTATTTAGTATCTTTTTTCCTTTTGTCTGTTGCTCATGCTCTTTTGGCATGGAGGCAGGTAAAAAGAGAACCACCGCTTTCTGTTCTCTAGACAGTGATGAAATCTTCTGGGGGGGGGGGCAGGTAGGACATGTCTAAAGCACACAGCAGAGCTGTCCTCTCTGGTAATCACAAGTGCGTCTCTAGCCCTTGTTAAATTCCATTACGGACTGAGCCACACTATCTCAATATGAATGTGACCATGAGTGTCACCTAGCATCATCCAGCTACTGGCCACAAGCACAGCTTAAAGACTCTCTTGGGGTACGGGTGGCAGCTTCTCAGAGGCCGGCAGGTTGATAGCCAAGTCATTTATTTGTCCTTACTCCCTGCCTCTTTTGGTAGCTTTATCCCTTTCTTCTCTCTTAAGAGTGGAAGGCGAAAGGAGTAAGATTTACAGCAACAGCAATTTATCTGCAATAAAAAGTGAAGCCTACTTTAATGCATTAATAGCTAAAGAGGCTAAAACATGCCATAAATACAGTCAAGCACATCGAGTATCACACAGGAATAACAAGAGGGTGCTGCAGGGACACAGGCCACAGATGACAACACTGTGACCCAAGCCTTTACTTCTTTGTCAAGTCCATAGAGAAATCATTAACATCCATTAAAGAAGTCAACATGCCAGATATTTGTGCTAAATAAATGCTGCACTTGGGTGAGTCATCTCATTTCAGAGTCCAGATGGCAGGATTATTACTCCCATCGTGCAGATAAGGAAACTGAACCTTGGAGGGGTTGAGTTGCCCAAGAACCTAGTTTACTTAGTTAGGTTCAAACCCTGGTCCCTACTTGCAGATGGCTTTTCTGTTTCCTACTTCCTTTTGATCTTGCTTTATCAGTTAAAACACGTGTTACAATTCTGAGAAATGCCCAACCCTTTAAGAGAGCTTAGAAAGCTTCTCATCATGGAGGTCTAGATTGCTCTACAGCTTAGCTCTGTTTTTCTGTGTGCTCAGATAACAATCTGTGGTCCTCTGAGGAGTCATCAGCAGACAGATGCCCTAGGAGAAGGGGTGTATTTGACAGTTGAAAATGGCTCCAAGTTATGATGTCCAAACTTACAACCCATAAATAATCAACAGTCACAGAGAGAAAGTTAGAAGGACACTACCCCTTGAAGCAGTAGTGGCATTTGGGGGGCATACACACTAAAGCTATTTTCCCAAACCATAATTATCCCCCCAAAATGATGTGATTTGCCCTCCCTAGACACATCAACACCCACAGCTGATTCTCTGTAAAGGAAAGCTGCAGGAGGCTAACTCCCATGTGGTACACCCTGTTTTGGTGGAGAGGACTGCAGTGTGCTCCAAACAGAGGTAGGAAAGGAGCAGAGATGCATCTGGAGGGGTCCTAGCTCCAGGGAAATGCTCTAGAGTCCAGCTGTCTCTCGGTGTAGGCTGAGGACAGGAACACTCCTCTTTACAAAGCTGTGAGAACCACTTTCCAAGAAGAGAGTGCCAAGGGCCACTGGGGAGAGACATCAGCAGCCAAAACCCAACATGCAAACTAATGATAGCTGAGACCACATATAATCTTAACTAAGTTGTCCCCTAATGGGGAATGTCTTTTCTGGGTACATCGGCTCCCTGTGAGGGCTTCTCTGAAGTATAGAAAGGATATTGGCAGATGAGAAGTCAGCTAGGATGTCGGGACCACCCACACAGCCAAGCCGGAGCCTTGTTCCACAGACAACTGTGGTGTCACACAGGCTATCTAGGTCTTTGTTTCCACCCTATCCCACATCTGCACACCTCTGGCATCCAGCTCTTACATGAGTACATGGAGCTATGCTCCTTCAGTGCTGTGTGTGTGTGTGTGTGTGTGTGTGTGTGTGTGTGTGTGTGTGTGTGCTGGCACATAATCTTCAGGATTAGATTTATGGTCCAAATCACTGGAAGAACTTTTATCCCCTCCGCCTCAGTTTCTTCAACTGGTAAATGAAGATAATACTGTTTCTCTCCTGGAACTATGAGAATTATGAGAGGGAGTGTTACTTTATAGTATGGTGTATAGTATAGAATAGTATAGTATAGTATAGTATAGTATAGTATGGTGTCTAGAATATAGAATTAACTCCATAAATGACAGTTGCGCTTCCTCTTATTATTATTACTGCACATTTAAATTACTACATATCCAGCTCTAACAGGGTTGAGGTACTCACTGCTTCTCTTCAGAGCATGACCCTCATGTGGACATATTCGCTCTTTAGAGATAAAGAGCAAAGAAGTAAGAATCAGGAAGGCAGGCGCTATAGGCTATGGCCTTCCTGAATCCATGTATTAAATCTTAGTGTCACATTTCATGGCGATTTGAAAGTGAGAGATGATTGGATCAGAAGAATACAACCTCCATGAATGAGATCGGTGTCCTTGTGGACAAGACTCTAGTGAGTCTGCCGGGCCCTTCTACCATTTAATGTGCTGGGAGGTGACGGCCATCACCAGGAAGCAGGCTCTCACCAGACACCAATCTATAATGCTTTGTCCTTGGATGTCCCAGCCCTTTGGAACAATGAGAATTGCTTATCTGTTGTTTGAGTCATCTACTGTACAGTATTTGTTTTTATAAAAACCTGAATTACAGACTTAGACACACAATTTAGGTTTAGGTCTGATCATAGCTCCTGGTACGATTTATCTTAACTTGCTCATCAATTAAGTAGGTTTAACAATCTTCCATCTTCCTGGGACATCTTGAAACTAAAATGAAATACATATTTGAAGTTTTGTAAAGCTGAAGATGTTATATAAAAGCAAGAGCCCCCTACCCCAATCTCCTACCTTTCTTAATTTGGTTCTATACATTTGTTTTATTTTTGAATGTTTAATCTTAGGATGAAGCTCTTCATTCTGGGAATTGTGCATCATTTTGACTTACCCAATTTCTGTATACCCAGCCAAGATCATCAAGAGCCTAGAGATGGTGTTTGGTCACACATTTATATGGTTTTTTTTAAATTATTTTTAATTATGTCTGTGTTTCTCTGTGTGGGCATGTGCATGTTGCCAGAAGAGGGCGTTGGACCCGCTGGAGTTGGAGATAGAGAGGCCGTTGTGAGCCGTTCCACCTGGGAACTGAACTCGGGTCCTCTACAAGAGCAGTGTGTGTTACTAACCACTGAGTTATCTCTTTCCCTTACTGGCACTTCAGCCCGGGGAGCCACAGCACAGGGCTCCCTCTGTTTCCTACAGCATTCTTCTGCTTTGCATCCACATGATGGCAGACGCTAGATCAGTCGTCTGTCCCACAGCTTGTCCATTAAATGCACCGAGGCAGCATGCTTCGACGTGTCCTTGGATGTCAAGGGCGCTCAGCCTCCCCAGGAACCGGGCACTCCTGACCTCATCCACCCCCCAGAGGATGACCTTCACACATCTTGACAGATCTAGGCTATCATAGTGCTTCCGGTTCTGGATGCAACATTGTAACAACTCCTTGCCTAATGTTTATTCCTCACAGTCCTTAAGGAATCTGCCCAAACTAGATGGCAAATGCTCAGCTTTCTATTTAGGACTCTGCCTGGACTGCAGGGAGCATTGATGGAGGACTACAGTAGTGGCGATACGGCAGTGGGGTGGGAAGGGCGAAGGAAAGAGGGGGGAGGGTAGTATTGTCAAGGTAGTAGTGCTCTACTCAGACCTGGGACCCGGGCCTCAAACATGCGGCTCATCTCTAGAATTTACAAACTAAGCTGCCAATTTATTCCTCTTCCCAAGGGGTTGATGAACATGGTCTAGGCTGTCATCTCTTCTTGTCTACTCAGCCTTGAGATGGAAGGCAGATGAGGGAGGCAGGGCACGGCCCCTCCTCGTTTGTAAGCCAGCTGCCACCAAAGCAAAATGTCCTCCCTCCTCGCCTCTCTAAACTAAACAGTAGTTTGTCAAACGGGTGAATAAGAAGAAAAGTGACAATTTTCCTTTATGTTAATAAATTGCTTTGGCCTAAAAAACATTAATCAATTTCTTTCCAAAGCACACACACTTCTCAATACTCTGCTATTTGCTTGGCCTTGAAAAGAAAGTCACTTTCAATCCCCTTTAAACTGTCAAGACCAGTGGGGGGAGACACCTGGGGGAGGGGCAGCTCCCTAAATCCTAGTGATTATAATGGAACCCTGCTGTGTTTCCATAGAAACATAACGATGTATTCTTCCCTGACTGTACATGAAGGAGGAGTGAAGAGCAAGGTGTACGATGTCTGAAGCGCTGTAGCGCGGGTGAGGAGGTGAGACATTTGTCCCTACAAGAGGAAGACAAAGCACTCAGTGAGGAAGAGCCAAGTGGGCAGAGACCGTGCCCCACGGAGCAGGATCACACCTGTTACGCCTCCCAGTGCTTAGGTTGTTATTATAACTCCCACATACAGCTGAGTCCTGGGGAAAAAAGAAAGTTGTCCAAGGTCACCCAGCCAGGAAATGATGCAGCTTCAGTTCAAACCCAGGAGTGCTCAATGCGAAAGCCTTTTGCTCCCACCTCTGTGATGGGCAGCACTTCAAGTCGAGGAGACGGAGTTTACATTCTGTCTTCTAGCTATTTCCTTCCCAGGCCTGCTAGTTCTGGGCACATGATTAGACCCACTCAGAAACGTATTTTCTAGTAGGTTTGGAGATGTGTGTAAATCTTGGGAAATGTAGGCAGTTCATTGTTGTTAGTGTGCTTTGGACTAGGCAGTCAGAAACTTCACACAGAAGGAGAGAAAAGCAGCCAGTGGTACATGGGTGCTCAGATAACGTGGTAGGAGCACATGGACAAAGACCTGGAAAGAAGGGCTACTTAAGAAGTGGGAAGCATATTTGGATCACCTGTCTTAAACTCTGGGAAGCAAGCTCCAGAGATGGTGTCCCAGTCTGCCTAGCCAAGTCGCTGGAACATAGCACCAGAGTGGTTTGGTAGGTGGATAGATGGGTGGATGAGTGGATGGATGGATGAGTGGGTGGGTGGGTGGATGGGATGTTCTATACCAGACAGCATGGAGTCTTAGCATGAGCAGGCATTATTCGTTTCCTTTGACTCCATCTTGTACTCTATAATGAAGATTGTTTCCTGCCATGGTAGGTAAGGCAAGGCTATTTCAGGAGCTAAAAGCACTGTGAATATGATTGTTCCTTATCAACCAAACATGCATGCCCCAGTGACACAGAGGCTGGGAATCAGAGCTTTCAACTTGCTGCTTTAAAGCCCTTCCTTGGTGCAATGCAGAGGTTGCCTGATGGCCGTTCCTACCCTCTGGATATGCCTCCCAAGTTTCCTCTGGGAGGAAGCAAGTATCGGTGATGTTGACAGGGGGCTGCTCTATCACCCAAGACAAACTAGGGTGCAATACTGGGCAACCATGGAAGGATGAGACTCAGGGTGTGGGTTTGGATGTCTCTGAAGACTGAGCTAGCAAAACCATGGACTTGGAAGGTTTCAAATTGCTGATGATGTGGGATAGCATTTGCTAGGGACACAGAGTCACTGGTTGAGCAATGAGACAGACATTTACTCACTGGCCAGACATTTACTCTATCTGCCACTCCTTTCTCGGCATCTAGAGGAGGATCTGGCATATGGATGATACCTAATCTTGGTTGAATGCCGGGGTGGACATGTGGTGCCTAATCTGTGTTGTATATTGAACATGCACCTGTTTGTTCTCCTTGCCGGGGAGTAGGAATCATACTTCTTCAGCAGAGTACCACTCTGCTCCTTGAGAATCGGGGAGCGACTTGCGGTTGCTTCGCTCTGGAGCCTTGTTTTGAAAAACACAATCTGTGTTTCATCCATTATGTAGGTCAACCTGCCAGGAGTATGTCCCTGTAGAGAGAACTAGAGAGTAGCAGAAAGACAAGGATGTCTGAAAAGGAGAGGAAGATCTGGAGGACAGTTATTGATACCTCCTCGTGCTGGCCACACGACAGGCCACTCTGCCCTTCTGTCTCTTCCATTTCAGAATGCTCGGGACAGTGCTGGATTCGGACTTCCTTTCTCACATGTGACAATTGTGATTTACTTCTACAGCAGTGCTAACTCTGATCTTCCGCTCTGGGAGGTGACATGGGTATCAGAGGCGAGGGCAGGTGGTCTTTTCATGATGGCTGCTTTTCAGCACTGCTGGGCACAAAGGCCCCTGCCAGTCACCCTGCATCCCAGAGCAACGTGGAGTCTTTTCTTCCTTACACAGCATCTCATCTCTCTCCAGCTAAACAAGGGGCATGCTCTGTTTTCGTGACCGCACTGCTGCCATTGTCTACAACCCCGGCTAGCTTCTCAGCGTGGACCTTCTGAGGATCCACGTAACAAGCACTTAGCACAGAAATGCACCCAAAAGCGGAACTGAAGTGACCAGTCAAGGATACAGGCTGGGTAGGGTGGCCTAACAGGAGCTGTTCTTCCTAGCCCAGCTCCCTGGGTTCAGGGGAAGCCAATCAGAGAGAGGAGGAAAGCAAAGGACCCCGACACATGTTTACCTCCTTTCCAGGCACAAAGAGGCTGAGGGAACAGCAGGCTCCTTCCCTAGGCCCAGGTTCTTTGCTGACTCTACATTCCTGGGGCTTCTGGGCACCTTGGTCCCATACGACTTTGTGTTTACCTCACACACCTTTGTGGTAGTCACCATGATATAAATGAAATACACTGTATGTTAATGACTCCAAGTCACATATGAAACAGGAAAAAGGAGGAGCTATCTACCCACAGAAGAGTATTTCAGTCTCTCTGTATGGAGGAATGCAGAAAGGTAGCCTTATACATAAAGCTCTCTAAGACACATCACTGAAAGGTCATTCAAAAAGCACAATGTATAAATGGTAATAATGTTACCAATGTTACCAATGCAGAAATAGGAGTCAACATATGCAAAAGGAGTCTAGTATGCCAGGCACTGCTCTGAGCATGTCATTTATATCATCTTACTTTACATGTGTTGATTTCAAAGAAAGCATTAACGTTAGAGGCCTTTATGATTTCCACTTTACAGTGTGCACCTTTATATTGTTTACATGTTAATAAATTAGTTTCCATAAATACTGTTTAAAAAACAACAAACATTAGCAATGAAGACCACTAGATGAGGATGAGAAGAAAGCTAGCCCAATATATGCTGACAGGCTCTGTGCTTGATTCATTTGACAATATCCCCGCGAGGTATCATTAAAGGTACTAATTGAATTCCATGGGGAGGAATGGGAGAATCTGAGAAACTCTCCCAAAGCCACACAGGCACAGCAGGTGGACCTGCTCTTGTGTGCTCTGGGTAATAGGATGCTACATCAGTGTGTGTCATGTTGAAGTTACCCTCCTTCCTTCCTCTCTGTCTTCCAGCGTGGAGTATGATTTCCGGCAGCAGGAAGGCAGATTCCATGAGGTTCTTCAGAGCCTGGAGGAGGCAGAGCCAGCTGAGGAAGCTCCTTCCCCACCCACGTCCCCAGCCGAAGCCCCGGTCCCTGAGAAACAGGACTTACGGCGAAAAAGCAAGAAGGTGAAGAAGAAATGTTTCTGGTGGATATAAGAGGAGATGGGGGATCCCCTGCCCTCAAGGCCACCCTGCTTCTCTACAAAAGCCCAGGCTGAGGTCCCTTGACCTGTGACATGGGAGTGCCTCCGAGCTGGTGCACTGTTGGACACCGGGCCATCAACCTTAGCTGAGTGTGTGCCACTGCTTGCTGAGGATTTTGTGGCCACTTGTGTGGCCACGTGCTGAGCTGCCTGTCACACACAGCCAGGCCTCATCCTCCTCTCCTAAGCTCAGATTCCTACCATAAGCAAAGCCCCACTGCACTCCCATCATTTCCATGACAACAAGCATCTCCTCCCCACCCTGAGTTCATCAACCCCAGAGAAACCGAAATAGGTGTGTGCCATGCACTGCAGAAAGACAAAGGTGATAAGCAGGTAGCCTAGAAAACATCCCACAATAAACTAACATGGTTCTAGGATTTGTTGTACAAAAGCACAATAGAACCGAGCAGGTCCTAACAATGCCAGGTCACCCTGATGGATTAAGTTGTCCTCTTTTTTTTTTTAAACTAGTCCTTAGACCTCAAATCGAGGGGCTGCCTTTTCACAAAGTATGGGCCATGCAGGGTGGTAAAGTAAGTTTCAGGTGGGCATTAGGCACCTGTTGTGTGATTGTTCTATGTGACTGAACTCAAGTGACTTTCACGGCCGTGGTCTTTCTGGGGCCACTTAACTGTCATATGTCTCTGTATGGCAAGTGGGATATAAACGAGAGGGGCTTTAACTTTAGGATCCCACCATCATTTACCTGTAACATTAAGGGTCATGAGACTCAGCAACCTATATGTCAGTATATAGTATCAAGCAACATTAATAAAGCTGAGCTACAATACAGCACTTTTTCTCATCCATGCATCCTTGTGACAACCATGTAGATAGGCCTAAACATGCTACTCGACAGTTTCCCTTCCTGGTGACCAGGCTGCCGTCACCTGATCTAGGAAGAAGTGGGACTGAGAACTGGTACGAAAGCCCCATCTTCCACAAAGTTTGAGTTCCTTAAGATCTGGCTCATTCTGTTGACAAGACCTCCGCCCATGGATGTCTGGTCAAGCTTGCATGCCGAGCAAACTCCTAAGGCAGTGTAATTAAGTGATTGCTATATACTCGGCGGGCTGAGTCGGGAGCAAGGCTTGGATTCCTTTGCATTAAATTCAGTATTCTGCCAGCCTGTGATTGGACTGACACTGTCGAAACATGAGCCACACCTAAATAAGGAAGCATTTTATAAGCCCCCACACCCCCGCCAAAGACCTAGTGTCTGAGTGAGTCTCTGCTGTGCACGTGGGATGTGCGTACCCCACTACAAATTGAGACTAATTGAGCAAACCGCCCCCAACAATTTCACTTCCCCATCACAGTGCTGCAGTGCAAAAGCTATTTCAGGGAGAGCGAGGGAAATTTGGCAAGGAGTCTTGGCTTGCACTATTTAAGTCTTGGGATGTCATTTGAGATGTTCTTTCTCTGTTTCTAGTGTAATGTTTAAATCCACGAAGTGAGACCAGAATATATAACATCAAGTTAGAATGAAGATAAATACACTTGCCATGCTTAAGAAACCACATTTCAATTAGATATGTTACCACTGGCCAAAAGCCACAGATCTTTCTTTCTGTATCTACACACTCAACTCTCAGTTGGCCCCAGCAATGGAAAAAAACAGTACAGAGGATAATCCAATAAAGCAAAATCATTTGGGATCTCTTATGTAATTTTATCTTGTAGTGGTGCTTCTGTCTTAATTTGTTTTGCTTACACTAATTTCAAATGAGTTTATATTCCACAGCATCAGGCTGTAATGAAAATATTCTTGCACTTAGATTTAGAGACCCAGGCAATAGAATAGCCTATTCCACTAACCTGGAGAAAATGGTGTAATCGTGTCCTTTTTTTGACTGGGGAGAAGAACGGCTGCTCCCCCTGATTTCTAAGTTCTGTGTAGCTTCTGGCAGCCAAGGAGCACACACTGTGAGAGCTAGCTCTAGCCTTTGCCCTGGCTAGCCTGGAAAGGTGAGGAGATACCTGGGGTAGCTCATGTCTTTACATACACATGGTGAGTTAGGGGCCTTGCATAAACTCTGAACTGAAGGAGATGAAATTGGGATTGGAAAATGTTGACATTCCCAGAAGTAAAACAAACCAAGAATATGTGATTCTAAACCAAAGCACAACACCTCATTGCATGGCTTAGGCCACTAGCCTACACCTGGAGGGGAGGTTCCTTCTGATAACTGAATCCCCAAAGTCAGTATGTGGGAAAAGGATTGATAACCACCAGCCTGCTGCTGAACAGGAAGGCTCATCTCTACATGAAATAAAAACCATACACATATATACCAAAACTCTATACTCCGTTACTTGTGTCGAGTACCACTGCTTCTTTGTAAACTAGTGTGTAATATGATCATCTACAGAAATGTTATCCTTGAGAGTATATGGTTTTATGGAAAGAGATTAATTTAGCAAAAATTACTTTTGTGAAATGGGAGGGACTGATTCATCTGTTCAAATTGCAGGGGTTTAATGTAGCTGCTCGCTCTATAGTTAAAACACTCACTATCCCTGGAACTTAATGCCAGCTCATCTGTGGAGCGCCTTCTTGAAGACAATGTATCACTGTAAGGTTTTGTAAATTTCTAAACTATTTTAAATGGGATATTATCTTTTGCAATAAACTTAAGTATTTTTCCTAGGTCTTAAGACTCCATTATTAGTTTGGGTTGAATTGAGTTGTTAAATTTTAACTCAAAAAAATAAAAGCCTTAACAGCCCCAAAGGCAAAGATAGTGATAATGTTTAACATACTATTTGTTTCTAAACAAAGAACTGATCCAGAAGCGCCTGTGACAGACATCACAGGAGTCTTGTGTCCTGACCATAAGGGAGGTGACCTGAACCAAGGAGACATTCCCAGCTGCATTCCAAGTGGGACACATCTCATCCATGGTTTATCTTCATGCACAGACACCTGACTCTAGCTTGGTTAATATTCCTCTTTAGTTAGTTTCTGATGAACAGTTTTCCTTAAAAGACATCTTTGGATCATCAATACCGAGAAAATTAGTGTCGTATTCCAAAACTGAAACATGAAATAGCAGTTTGATTAAATTCAAACGAGCTCCCACTTTTGAAGGTTGAGGGATCTAAGCATGAGACCAGAAATTTGTGGAAAACCTATTTGCAAATATCCAATGTGTGCTAATGGCACATTAACACCAAACCATGTTCTATTTGGCTAGCCAGAGGGAGAATTGAAGGAAGAGGATTTTTTTCATCATGTGAGTCCGTGTTTGCCCTGCTGTGTCACTGGAGACTGGTTTCTGTCGGGAGGATGAGCCTCCCGCTCTGGAAAATACCACCTAGGAGGAAATGAAAGCAAAACAACACCCTGGACATGGAAACAGAAGTCTTGGTTTGACAGCCTTCTTTTTCCTGAGTGACCTTCTGGTTCTGGTTCTGCATCTTATGAACTGGACCGCCCATCTTAAGGGGACACCCTGGCAATTAACTAAAGGAAGCTCTAAACACAGTGTAGGGTACACAGCAGGTGCCCAGTAAACACACACTCATCCGTTTCCTCATTGAAGTAAACTGGGAGGAAGAAGAGCCAGTGTTTCCATGAGGTGACAGCTGGTATCAGATGCAGGTTTAAGACCCTCTTAGGGCAAGGAACCAACTCATTCTGGCTTACCAAAACCTTAGCAAGCAGGACAATACGTGTTAAGTAATTGTGTTCAACGACTCAGTAGAACACGCGAGCCAAGAGCACCCAGCACAGCACTGAGGAAAGAAGAGTGCTGTGCCAAGGTCTCAAATTCCCCAGTGTGGGAAAGCCTTGGAGGGCCAGACCTTTCCATATGCAGCATGAGACATCCAGGTATAACTGGATGGTTTGTTCAAGGCTACTAGAACTGGGGAAATGGGCCAAGAGCACCAATGTGAGTGTGCAAGAGCACCAATATGAGTGTGCAATACGTGAGGCGCCAGCCCACGCCAGCCCCCACTCACCTTAGGCCTGAAGTCTGTTCGTACTCTTGTCAGCTGATCAGAGCCCCCAGCATGATCTTCACTTGAAAAGGATCTAATTTTAGGTCACCATGGGCGACTTTGTGGGATGCTAAAAATACATCTGTTTTTAAGTTCCAAGCCACAAAGATGTTTTATGAATGTTACTCCAATCAAACAGGAAAGGGCTGGGGCACACATCCAAATTTAAGGCTGTTTGCTATGATCCGTGTTTGGCCAACTTAATGATCATAGTCATCCTTTTGAGTACTTCCACCTCAATTTCTTCCCATCTCCCTTAAACCAGCTGACAGCCCCAAATAACTAGTAGTGACCATGTGATACTACCCCTAAACCCAAAGTTTCACAAATTCATCATTTTTTTTCCTGCCTTCTATGGAGCCCTTAGCCCACAAAAGGCAGAAGGCAGAAATGCACCTTCAGACACCACACAGCTTGGTTCTCCCCTAAGGTCAGACAGCTTCCCCATGGCAGCCATCTTAATGTCTACCACAGTAACATCCCTTAAAGGGTCTCGAAGAACCCTTTTTCCTGCCTAGAACATGCTTACATTACACCCCTTCCAGCCCAGTTTCTGGCAACAGGTAATGCCATCTCAACCAGCCACCACCACGACCACAAACCACACTAGATGTTCTTCTTAGTCGTTTACCCACACCAGGGACCCTGCCCTCAAATTCCATGACAGAGCTGTCATTGAACATATATCCATGTCATTCCTTAGTGTATGTACTTGTCTCTATCATGTTCCTGGGGAAGGAATCCTGCTTACTGTCAATTGCCTGTGCATACCCAGCACTCACCACAGTGTGCCTTGGAGGGACAAGTTAATTAGTAAATAGGATCGAGTGAAGGAGATTCTAACTCTCAACCCCTACTTTCCCCTTGCCCATTGGAGGGGCACTCACAAGGGATGGCACAGTGCTGGCACCCAACCTCGGTATCTGCACCCATGGAGTTGGAGGCTTTAGCAAAAAACACTGGCCAAGGCCTTCAACTCTTCCGTGGTCTGCCTGGGTTTCAGAACTTAGGAACATCAGGACACAGCTGTCCTCACCCTGCACCTTTGTTGACAGCTCCCACTTAACCTTGTTTCAGAATAAATTGCCATCATAATTAAATCCCAATGCATTTTGCACATTTTACCAAGATACTGCCCAACTGTGTGAGAGAGAAAATGAGTTTTGAAATTAAAGCAGATTGTTAACTATTTTTCCTGTAATGTTTCTATTAAAATGCCAGCATTTATTACATGTGACCTAGTCCATTTCAGACACAATGCAATTTAAAGCAGACAGGGGCTGTCTACTCAAGGAGCATTTTAGGCGAAGCGTTTTGCCTTGACTTCAACCATGATTAAAGTGAAAAAGACAATAACATCACACCAAAGGATTATTTGCTCCCAAACAAATAAAAGCTTTATTATCATGAAAGGCTTTCAAAAAATTCTCAGAATCCATAAATATATTAAATTTCATTCAAATGAAACCCATTATTTTCTTCCTGACAGAATCTGAATATACATTTTGTAGACCATTAGCTAGCCCAGTGACCTCTACTTGGCACACCAGCCTGGTTACCCAGGTAGCACACTCAATATTATGAAACCTGGTTATGCTTTAAAAAAAAAAAAAAAAAAAAAAAAAAAAGCAGCCTTCTTTCCAGAGTACCAAACCAACTGACGTATTTCAACTGCCAGACTCCAGAGGGTTCCCACAGCCTCAGCAAGCAGCTCACCAGAGACCTGAACTCCACCCCACCCCAGGCAGAAATCAGACACAAACGACAGAAGGACCTTAGATTTGCTTGCTGTATTGTCTTCTGTTAGCAGTTTTTTTTTTTGTTTCAAATACAAAATATTATATCTTCAATGGTTTAGATTTGAAGATGAAAGAGTAAAATCAAAATGCAACTCCAAACATCAACATTTATAAATCCAGACTGCTGGCCTGACTACCATTTGCAGGGTTAGACCTTTGTCTCTCCTCCACGAAGAGGTATCCCCCAGGCTCTGAAGAAACATAGATGAACCTTAGTCCATCATCAATGCACAGTTACCCAGCATCTTCTCTGTGTCATGACCACTACCAAGGACACTGAGAAGCCCATGGTAGCCCTGACCTCACCAGGTATGGTCTAAGGAGGACTGCCCCACTGTAAACAGAGGACTATCCTGGATTTTCTCTACCTGGATGTCATACCACTCTCCTTTGAACTGAAGATGAGGATATAAATACTCCTGGGACTCTGTCCATCATCTCGCCCTTACCCCCACCATGTGGTAAACTCCCTGGAGGAGCCTTTTGAGATAGATGTTCGGCTAAATCGTCCCCGATTCCTGTGTCTCTAACTGCACCCCACCACCACCCCAGAGCACAGATGCCCACTTCCACAGTAAGTAATGCTCATAACTGGACTCCAAGTTAATGTTCATCCCCTAACCTCCTGCTAACTCCCCTCCCCCTCCCCATCTCATTGCCACTCCGGAAAGTCAGAGGGTGTTAAATGTCTGTGGCTGCATCTTCTCTTCTCTGCCTGAAACAACCATCAGCCATCTATCATGAGGAACAGTGTGCACTTCGAGGAGGATACAAGATGGGGTTCACACTACTATATTAATTAATAGTGATAATAAGCAGCAGATGCCCGAAATCTCAGCACTTACAAGGCTGAGGCAGGAAGACAAGTTCAAGGCCAGTCTGGGCTTCGTAGTAAGACTCCATGTCAAATCAAATCAAAACCAACCAACTAAGCACCAACCCAGTGATACGAGCTCTCTGTTCCTTGAAGTGGCAGTGGGTAATGACCAGGGCTTCCCTGCTCTTGTCACACTTACCCCCCAAACATTTCCCCCAGGTATTTATGACGATGGCCACTTTCCAGCAGAATGAACGGAGGCTTGAGGACAGAGGAACAATTCGTCAAAGTCCAAGATATGGGGGGTGTGAAGAGGACAGAGTTCTCTTACAGTCTGCCAAACTTGGCTCTTAAAACCCCCAGGACAACAGCGAGCACCAAATTAAATATCGTCTCCTCCCTGTCGCTCTCTCATCATCTCCTGTCCCTGCGCTGGTGCTAGTCACTCCATCCCGAGTGCCCACAGGATTGCACAGGCTGTCACTTTTCACAGTGAGATTCCTCTCATCAATCCCTCGTGCTCATCTCTACGAGGATGCAATGTCCCTGGAGACGAGAGTTGTCACTCCGTCTCTGGGAACCTCCATGGGCTTCCCAAGTCAGGTGAGATGCCATAAATGCTTTGTAAATTCTGTTGAGTGAATTAAGAGAAAACGTGGCTAGGAGCACACTGAGAGGAAACACTGAGGCAGACAGACAGGGCCAAGGCCCGGTCCTGGCTGTTCCCTCCCCCCACCCACTGCCCTCATCTTTCAAATGAATCCCCAGGATTTCCTGGCTTCAACTGCTATTTAGAAGGTGAGATTATATCCAGGAAAGGGGCTTCGGGAAGCTGGGCTTGCTCAGTAATTCCTGTTTTTAAAGATATGGTATTTGAGGTTTTCTGATCAGAAAAAGAAAGTGACATTATTTCAGAAAAAAAAAAAAAAAAAAGAAAGAAACTCTAGAAATTTGCAAACCCTGAGTCTGCCTAACAGAAGATGCAGAACACTAGTCGCTGGCTCTGGCCTCTGGGAGGCTGCTGGTCTA